AAGTTTGGTTTGATCTTGTAGATCATTTCGTAGGCAGATTTGCCGGTACGAGGACACACATTCACAATGTTGAGGAGATGAGTTGCACAGACACAGGCTTCAGCCCAGAAACATTTTGGAAGGCCTGAATCTATTAGTAATGTTCGTCCTAATTTTGTTATCGTTTGATTGTTTCTTTCGGCTCTTCCATTTTGTTGATGGGCGTAAGGATTGCTCATTACCAATTCGGCTCCCACGGCCGAGAGAGATTCTCTCACTTTGGAGTTATCGAACTCCAAGCCGCGATCAGAGAATAATTGTTTGATATCGGAGCCGGTCTGATTTTTGAACCAGACAATGAATTGCTAGATGAGATCAGGAGCTTCATCCTTCGATTTAAGAATGAACAATTTGTTGAATTTGGAGTATTGGTCGTGCATATTCATAAAGTATTTTCCTCCTCCAAGGGATACAGTGGCCATTGGTCCGCATAGATCAGTTGAGATATAACCCAGGGACCGGCCACGGTCATTTGGGCGAAAAGTCAAAAGGGCGCAAGCTCCAATTGGGCGCAATGCCATTTGGGCGCAGTGCCATTTGGGCGCAAAGCCGTTTGGGCGCAATGCCATTTGGGCGAATTCTATTTGGGCGCAACCGCCAATTGGGCGAAAAGTCATTTGGGCGCGCAGATCATCGGAAAGATACCTCGAGAGTGATTCGTTTTTTCATATGGTAGACGCAGAGATTGACTCCTTCAGAGCTTCAGCCATGCCGTCCAGCAGCCGAATAGGCTGGTCGACGAAGATTGTCTTCCTGCATCTATGACGATCCCGCTCGACGAGAATGGATAATCGTAGGCAATCATCTCGGGACGAGACCTCTTTCGCCTTCGAGAGGGCATCGAGGACTTGCGCGCTGTGCGCAGTGACGAGTGGATGTCTCGCGAATGAGAGTCGGAGAGACTTAAACAATAACAACTGCCGTGTGATCGAAATTCGAACGATTCTGAGTCGCCGTGATCATCGTTCCTAGACGCTCGAATTTGTTTTGTGATACGACGTGGAATTTCATCGAATAAAAATGGCTTCGAATATCACCAAGACTCAGAAAGGTCGTGAAAAACTTATTCACGAGGGCTGGATGTACGTCCGGGACCGTGTGATAGGCGGAGGAAGTGTCCAGAGTTGGCGGTGCATGTATAAGAACGCTTCTTGTCCGTGCCGCGCTAGAGCGTACACCTCTATTGAGTCGGGGGAGGTCGGTCGTCAGTACGAAAGGCTCACACACGGATCCGGTCGACCCTTCGGGAGTCGAAACCACGAAAGTCCGTGAAGCCATCAAGCGACGCTGTGAAGAAACAAGTGAACCACCATCGTCGGTGATGTCCTCAGCGTTTCTCACGGCTTCGAGAGCAACTTTCGGACGACTCTCGGAGTCTACTGAAGAACGCGTGGCCGGCTTTGAGTCATCCGGCCGGGGTGATGGGCTTCGAAAGGGCTGCCATGAACGCCGTGCGCAGCGTTTTCTCATCCGATACGAGGATGGATGGCTGTTTCTTCCACCTCGTGAAGAACATCAAGCTCAAGCTGGCGGGAGATGGGCTTATGAGTCGGTAAGACCCGTTCACTGAGCTGATCGATGGATGGATGAATTGATCGACTGGATATGCCGAACGATTTCATATGTTCGTTTCGATTTCTATTCGAACCTTGGAGAGAGGACTCCTCTTTTCCGGCTCGCCAGTTCCGGCCCTCATTCCTTCATAGCTCCCTCTCACTCTTCTTTCCCGATAATGCTTTCAACAGGTATAGTAATGACGACGAATTCGCGCTCAACGCGAGGATGATCGCGGCCTTGGCTTTCGTTCCACCGGCCGAGCTGAATAACGCGATCTCCGAGCTCGCAGCACTTCTTCCGCCGGAGCTCGTCACCGTTCTCAATTACTTCGAGGACGTATACCTCGGGAGATTGAACAGAGTCACCCCCGAAGGAGTGATAGAGAGACGGGAGCCACTGTTCCCGGTAGACATGTGGTCAGTCTTCCAACGAACGCTCGACGGCGAAGCGCGTACAAACAACTACGCGGAAGCCGCTCATCGACGCATGCAGCTTGAGTTCGGGGTCAGCCACCCGACGCTGTGGAAGTTCATCGACGGCTTGAGGAGGATACAGAAAAATCGAGACTTCCAGCTCGAGCAATTCCTCGGAGTCGCTCCAAGTTCAAAGAAGCGCAATAAGTATGCGGAGGCCGACAGGAGGATTTTAGAAATCGTGCGGGACGTTTCGAACAGGACTCACGTGGAGTATTTGCGCGGCATCGCGCACAACTTCTTCATGGAGTCGTAACTTGTGGTTCGACAAGTTCTGCTCGTCTTCGCAAAAAGATGTGTAAATTAAAGTTGACGAGATTAACCATCAGTCCGCCGTATGCCAACGATGTTGGTGGCGTATGTCGCCTATGGCAATGAAAGCGAGAAAACGATAAGCCAAGAGTAAACTCTCGAAAGCTGCGCCGAGGAGCGCATTCACAAGGTGTTTTCATCCTTGCGATCACCAGGTCCTGTTTCCCGTCGATTCCCCACGAGTGATCAGCTTCCTCAGATGAAAGATCCTACCAATTCGGCGCCCAAATGGCATTTCGCCCAAATGGGATTCGCCGAAATAGGTTTTCGCCCAAACGGCATCTCGCCCAAATTGCATTGCGCTCAAATGACATTGCGCCCAAATGGCATTTCGCCCAATTGGAGCTCGCGCCCTCTTGACTTTTCGCCCGCTTTCCCGTTTCCCCGCTTCCCCGTTTCCCCGCTTCCCCGTTTCCCCGCTTCCCCGCTTCCCCGCTCCCCCGTTTCCCCGCTTTCCCGTTTCCCCAATTTCGCGTTTCCCTGATTTCCCGTTCCTCCACTTTCCCGTTTACCCACTTCCCCGTTTCCCCACTTCCCCGTTTCCCCACTTTCCCGTTTCCCCACGCTCCCGTTCCCCCTTGTTCCCCGTTTCCCTACTTGCCGTTTCCCTACTTCCCGTTTCCCTACTTCCCGTCTCCCTACTCTCCCGTCTCCCTACTCTCCCGTCTCCCTACTCCCGTATCCCCGCTTTTCCGTTTCCCCGCTTTTATTCCATATGTCCTTCGGAAAATCTATCACGGCTACAGCAATTTTCTGCGAGAGTCATTAGTAGAGAGACAGAGGCCAATGATGACGGCAACTCCCGATAGCCTTCTTAGGAGCTTCCGAGAACCCGCCCCCACATGGAGGTCCAGCCATTGAAAAATCCTGCAAATTCCCGTCTTTCCATTGATGAAATCCTTGATTCTCGATGAGAGGACCACTCGAATAAATTTTTTTATGGTGGAACGACCCATCACATAAGAGCGACGACCCTCATATGACCCTCCTGAAACTCCCGGGAACCCGACCCTGAATTTTCACGGCGATCGGTTCAGGCGTTTGTGAATTTTGCGATTTTTCATTTTTTTTCCGAGTTTTCGAATTTTCGAGGGTTGAGCACTCAAATAATTTTTTTTGAGTCTATAGGTGACACCAGACAGACAGACAGACAGACATACGTTTTTATATATATAGATTTTCGAATTTCGAATTTTCGTGGGTTGAGCACTTAAATAATTTTTTCAAGGTAGAAGGACTCATCGCACCGGAGAACTGACCCCCCTATAACCACCGCTGGATCGCCTAGAACACGCTCCTAAATTTTCACGACGATCGGTCCAGCCGCTTTCGAGTCTATAGGTGACACCAGACAGACAGACAGACAGACAGACAGACAGACAGACAGACAGACAGACAGACAGACAGACAAACAGACAAACAAACATACGTTTTTATATATATAGATGTTCTCCGGAAAATCTATACCCTTCAAGGCTACAGCAATTTCCAATTGCTTTGACTTCTTGAGAAGGCGATATATGAACGATTACTCCACAAATGTCAACGATCTGATTCGGTGCTTGGCTCTGGCGGCTGGCGATCGTGACATAATCCGGGTCTGCCTCAGCGAGTTGCATTTCTACTCCCGAAAGCAGATCGATCGTCGTAGATTTGTTGATAAGCATTTCGAGCTTACCCGCCGTCGGATTGTACTTGGAGTTGGCGGTTCGGCAATTGAAGGTTTGGATCTCGAAAACATGGTCTTTTTGGAGAATAGGGAAAAATTTCTCTTAGTTCTCGTTGAAAGCCACTAGGCGCATCTCGGTGGACTCATCGGCCACGACGCACGAAAATACAATACTTTGCCTTCGTTCCCGGACTTATTCCAGGAGAAGATCTCGCTCTTGGATTTGACGCGGAATCGATATTTCTCATTCGAAAGACCCAAACGCAAGCCTTTCAAGGGCAAGTACGACAGGGTTTCTGGTACCTCCGGCTCCGGCTGTTCTTCTTCTGAAGCGAAAAATTGTTCTGCTGTCCATTCACCCGGGGCAGCCAATCCATAGAGAGACTAGCGTCGTCAGAGTCTCCGGGGATAAATCTTCACCATCAGTCTCGATCTCGATGCTCGCGGGCCGTTGTTTCAAGGACATCCGGACGGCGCTTTTTGTTCGCGAGGACGACTTCTGTACCCGGGACCTCCGCGCGGGGTCGTCATTTTTCGAAGACGACTTGTTCTTCACCCTGCGACTCGTTGAAGATGTCGCTGATATCTTGCGTGCGCTGAGCATCGTCCTCCCAGACCTCGGGTTCTCCGAATCGGTGCACGAAGAGCTCGCGACTGCTCTTGATTCTTCTTCTTCTTCTTCAGGCAAGAAAGATGTCCCTGATATCTTCCGTTTGTTGAGCATCGTTCTTCCTGACTCCTTATAATCCAAAGCAGTGTTCGGAGAGCTTCGGACAGCTGTTGCTTCTTCTTTATCCTCAGGGAAAAGAAGTTCCGTCGGGTTGATGCACACATGAACCTTTTCCGGGACTCGTGATTCCAAACGACGACGTGGGAGCTTCCGTTCTTCACTTCCAGTGAGTTCGTGTAGACTAGCTTGCTGTCTGGATGACTCCACTTTCGCCTTGATTTTCGCCGAAAACTTCTTCGCTAATTTGACCATGTTCTTCGAGGACGCACTGTCCAGATATCGGAAGATACGAAGTCTCTCGATTGCACTATCTCGCTATCAAAAGATACGGAATCGACGAACACACAGAGTAGAATCAGATCTTGCGACGATCTCTCGACACTGTCGAAACACCGTTAGAAGCCGTTATAGTCGCGAAAATATGAATCAGCAACTTGATGGCATTCGACTCCCACTGATTTTCTTTCGCGCTTTCTATAGAATCCAACGCTTGGAGCGCTAGAGTCTGGAGTTTGAATGAGCGCCGTGTGAACAATCCCGCGCTGGTGAACTTGGAACGACAAATGGATGACAGTACAACGATGGAAGGCGGATTTCAAGATGTTGAAGAATATTATTCTGACATGGAGCTCATGGATTCATCAGTTTCGACAAGATCACCATCTCCTCGAGCCAAGAATCATTCGTACATTAGACTGAGCAATAGGATCATGCACTCGACGCCTGAACTCATTCCGGGAAAAGAGGGTCATCTCTACCGTATGAGGAAGAGCCGTCGGAAGAAGAGAAGTTCAAAAACGGAAGCGACTACGTCTTTGTCTCCAAGAATGGCTCAATCTGGGAGCGCTCGCAGGCGTGTAATACGGCAGCGACTTCAGACTAGAAATCGACTGGTCGCCAACATGGCTGAAGATCCTCATGAAGCCTTTGCATCATCTGATCCGTATCTGGCTTCATCAGTGACTACAGGCCTTGGCGGCAGCGGTTCATCTTCCAGTAGGCGCTGATAGAGATCCGAACGCGCCTCCGAAAAAGAAAGGACGCTTTTCATGTTCGCAATCAGAGAGTTCACTTTCGGGAACTCGTCCCGTCCGGTCTCACACAAGAGATGTAAACCGTGGGCGAAGCAGGTGACGTGTAGAAAATTCCTATAGAACACCCTCAATTCTCTCCCGGCTGCGAGGTTCGTCCGGCATTGGTCCATTACCAACAACCTGAAGAGGCTTGAATCTCTCGATATTATCATGGCGGTCCGGCTCAAGATACCCGACAACGTTGCGGTATTCGCCGAGTCGACAAACTCCGTATCATACAGCAGAGGAACCTCGGACTTTCCAGTGAGAGGAATCACGATCGTGTTTACCACTTCCCTCTTCCCAGCGTCTTGAGTTTCGTCTATGTACAACGCGTACGGCACGGAATCCAGTCTTCGAGCTCTTTCTTCTTGGATATTCTGATATCCGTATGAGATGTACTTTTCCGGGCCCGTGGCGCATTCAACGTATTGCTTCGAATACTTGAGGAAGAATTTATTGAAGCGTTGAGAGTTCAGAATGCGGAGCGGTATGTTCGGCGACACAAACAATAGGAATAGATCGTAACTAGCGTACCCTGCCGCGCTTCGCTGCGGCTCAAAGCATTTTACCGTGAATTTCCCGAGAGCAGCCCTCTTCCATAGTAGAAGCTTTCCAATAGAAGCCACCTTGCCAGAGCTCCTGGGAAAACGAAAGGCCCCCTCTAGAAGAAGCTCCCGGATTTCAAAGTCGGCTAAAAGGCGGAGGTGACGTGCCCGACGTCGGAACATCGGCGCCCAAGTATCTTCGCCTGAAGGAGTCCTTCCGGGACGGTCGCTAACGTGCATTGATTGCCAAGCTCTATATCGAGAACACACATTCCCCCAGACTTCCATAATCACTGATCAATTTTTCCGACGCGAAATTTCCCTTGAAATATTGTGAGCCACCCTCCAATAGAAGCCCCAACCGGTAGCATTTGGAGATATGGAAGACCGGGTCACTATTCGGAGATTTACGGTATGGTCTACGTCGATCTCCGATGCTCGTTTCCTTCTCGGACATGTGCCATGAACCATGATATTTGCGGTGCATTCGTTAGCTCGTTTTCTGCTATTTTGTCCGAAGTTCACGCATTATCAGAATCTGACATCGAAAAATCAGTTTCACCCACCTGCGCATCATATGCCTCGAGGATTCATCTCCAAACGTGAACGTATATGATGCTCATATAAATCCGATCTTGATTCCCTGACTCTCGAGCCCGAACGGGCACGATAACCGCGAGAGCGATAAGACTCCCGTTTCGAGGGTAAGAATTTGGCCCCCGTTCCCGATTCCCTGACTCTCAAGCCTAACGGGCACCACACACACACACCTTTGGTCTCACCATCCGGTTTATGCCGAAAGCATTGTTCTGAAGTCCGAACTTCGGACATCATCAGAATCCCATACCGAAACATTACACATCACACTCACCCACCTTCACATCATGTACCCCGATGATTTATTCCCAACCATGAACAGATGAT